CTGTTAAAATATCCAGGCAATAAATAGTAAATTAGTTAATTATTTTCCTATAGTAAATACAATCACAATAATAGTAAAGTTAACTACATTTTTATCATCCACCTTACTAATCACACGGTAAACAAAAGTGAAGTAGTTCGGAATGTCCTCACTAGAGGGACGCGCGGTATAAGACTTTCTCGTAAGAAGAAAACCGCATAAATACGAATAAGTTTATACATTCGTATACGAATACTTATCTTTTCTTCGAAAGATGCTTTTTTGTACTATTCTTTATGAATGCAAAGTGGTGTAACAACTGAACACAGTGAAAGCAATGTACGTTGTATACAATAAAAAGCGGGGAATTATTACTTCCAATATAAATACAATTATTACTATTACATATAGCTATTTGAAATTTTACTTGTAATTGTTATTGCAATATTTATGGCACGCCTTACCAAATTAAAAGCTCGTTTTGGTTTATGACAACCATATCGTAAGTTGCATGGACCAATATTGTGTCTATGAGAACAATAATACATTGTTGGGTCCACCATAGCTTACGCAATCGGAAAAATTATAAAAATGTGTTCGGCTGCTACAACGACTATAAATTGTAGCGAGATTGTGGTAACTGCAATAATTTTTTCCTGTCAGTGTACAGTCAATATTTGAAGATTAGGGAAGCGATCCGTATCGCCCTCAGGCTTACATCACGCGTGGTTACAGTTTAATTGACAGAGTTACCGAAACGCTGATGATATAAAAAGAAATAATGATAGACGCACGCGCGCGCGTACTTTAGTAGCGGCTCAATTAAAAGTAGTTAGGACCGGTTAGGAGAGGTGAAGGAGTCATTAACGATCGGGCACGCGTCAAACCGCAGGACGAAGTTGATCGGACTCGTTTCTCCACACTTGACCAGCACGCGCGCGCGTGATTTACGCGCATGAATTAAGTGCACCTGCCGACAGGTACGCTGTATGGGCGGCCGTCGAACAGGTTTGGGACCACGCGACGTCCAGTTATGTAGCCGTTCGATCGGCGAGTAACACGTGTAACGCGATATTAAGGGGATTCAAGTGCGGCGTCACGAATCATAAATTATGATATTTCTGATATGCCTTGCGGTACATAACACATTTCTCTCAACATAGTATAGTTTTTCAACATAATTGGAGCGATCGCGACAATGACGTTAAACTGATGGAACTGAAACATCGGCCCGTAAAAATTCATATAAATGTTTCAATTGAGATCCTAGCGTGTGAACGCAATTCTATCTGTTCCCTGTTACAAACAATTAACGCGCTATTGCAAGATTACGCATAAATAGCGAGATAATTCCGGGAAGCGCGCGAATGCAGGATCGCAAATTGCTTGTCCTTCGAGTATCAAAGGTGTCGGTGCTGTATCTAATGTGATATAGCATGAAATGCACACATACATTTTTGTATGTTTTGCACAGTCATTTATTTGTTAACAAGCACTCCATTATTATTTGTTTCCAGTGATAATTCGCTGATTGATTTTATATATTCACTGCCTCCCTTAGTAATTTTGAAAATTTTATATTTATTTATTAATTTAAAAACAACACGGGGACATCTTTCTGAAAGAATTACTTCTGTAAGATTCGATTTAAAGCCTAAATAAGTTTGAGAAACAAATTAAGAAAGTTTTCTTAGACCTATCTCTTGACATTCTCTCCTTTTATTTGAAGCCCGTCCTTAATCTATTAAAGTTGTGATTCAGTAAGTTGTAATTCAGTAAGATGTATATCGCTTTGTATATCGCTCAATCTTTCTTATCACAATCTTATGATCGTTCGTCAGAAAGAAACAACCAGCGACATTTAGCTTCATCACAAGTTTGCTACGAAAACTTGCTACTTTCGATATTTCTTGGTGAATCAGGATTTCATATAAAATGTGAAGAAATGTGAATCAATTTCGGTTGCTTTCCTCTCAGAAGCCGCAAATCGACACAGGTTAACACACTCGTGCACAGTCTGCCACAGTCAAATGGTAAAGAAAAAAGATTCTATTGAAAAAGAAACGTTTCTTTCAAAACCCTGGGAGCGGATGCATTCTTCGGTCAAGAACACACTCCAGCTCTCTGCCCGAGCAGAGTCGAAGAGTATCGATTGAGTTTGAACCAAAGCTAAAATGGCAAGCGACGTGTGTCGATTTGGGTCAAAGGTGTCAACTGTGTTCTCTAAAAGGAAAACAGCTTTAATATTGAAATTAACACTTCATATCGAATTGACTCGTTATATTTCATAAGATAATTTCGTCTCTCTCTCTCTCTCTCTCCTCCTCCTCCTCCTCTTCCCTCCCTACCTTTTTTCTTTCTTCTTTTCCTTAAAATTTTCTTGGAAAATCACGGAACGCGTGAGTCAGTGCTCTCGAGATACATCTTTGAAACTGAGGCATTGTTCTCTCCCCTTCCTCTCTATCTCTCTCAATATCTCTAAGAATGTCATATCTTTAAGCTGTTTTATATCCCGATTTAGACATCATATAACAAAATGTTTTATTCTGGACAACTTTGAGATATATTGTAAGATATTGTAAAATAAAATGTAATAATATTGTAGTACGAAAGAAGAAATATAGGAAGGATAGATAGGAGCTAATTGCATATAAATCGGTATACAAATGATTTAATGTTTATACATTGTGAGATTGGATTCTAATGTGAGATAGTAGGTTGTCAACGTTCAAATTCAATCACAAATCTCTTTTTGCAACGATTACACGATCTAACAATTAATTTTTCACTAAACAGATCTCACTCCAAGGGCAATAAATTCATGGTGGAACCAACCGATGATGCCTATTAATTTAGCAGAAACTCCGCTATCTCATGTTAGGAGCCTATAATCATAATAGGGGACTTTCCTCTAATTGTAAGTATTAAATCATTAATATACCGATTTATCAGATAGCTCCAGTTTTTGTCTCGTAGTTTTCCTCTTATCAGCGTTTCCAAACAGCTCAATTGTGTGACGCGATCATTGTGACGCGGAAATATCGGAGTTCCAAATTAACTGACAATAAATATTTTTAAAACTTGTATTACATCCTGAACTATGTTATGTGTCTTAGTCAATAATGGTACAATTGATTGAATGTAAATTGATGTACATGCTCCAAAAATGTTTGTCTTATAAAAGGCAACGTTTCAGGTGTCCTTCTCAGGAAGTCTTGAAGATATCCTTGAAGATGTCCATTGAACATGGTTAATTAATGTCTGGGTTAATTCGACTGATAAGATTTATCAGACAATTAATATAAAAATATCTATATGTAGCGTCGGAAATACTCACCACTAATAGGAAATTTGTCGAAGCTTCAAGGAACTGCAATTTCCCAAAACGATACACTTGCAAAGGATATAATTTAAACTTTCTAAGTACTGAGAAGTTTTATGGCTGTAAAACACGATCACAAAGCGATTTATTAAAATCACAAAATCGATTCTTGATTATTTTAGGATTTAACGGAATATTTTGCTATCGGTGTAACGGATTAAATATAAAAAAAACGATTCGATTTTATTATTGTTCGATTATCTTATTGTAAAATAATCTCCAATTATCTTGCCACAGTCTCGTTCCATTCTGTTGTGCTATATCATAAATAATATCGTTTTACAAAAAAAATTAAATAACAGTTAAATTCCAGTCCTCCAGAAATCGACAAATATATGTACGTTGAAGCGACTGATCGAGAAATATTCTGCGCAATTAGTCGCAGATTCTCACAGTCCATTGCGTGTCCCAAATAAGGATTCTGCCTTCGAGATCTTAAGCCTACTCTGACCACTCTCTTCTCGCGTTGACGAATAATAAGAACAATTAAAATGTTTCCTCCCCGACTTTACTCCACCGCGCATTCTAAGCCTCAGCCTGATCGCTGGCCTCTCAAGATGCTCGCTACGTTCGCCAAACGCGTGTAAATAGAATGGAGACATCGGTGTGCGGTTAGAACGTCGGGCGAGAACGTTGATAAGTGTTATTGTCCCGGTTCCATCTGCGGTTCGGCCTGGGTATCAGCTTCCGGAATACTTAGTCAGATTTATGTCCTGTCCTGTGTCGCTGACACAGTTCTTTACCCAGCACGGCTAAACCGAAGACGCAACACCGGCGGATCCGGTGGTAGCTCCTGTTTATCCGCGGTTTTAAGACCAGCGCGCATCAGTTAGCGTGATACACATTCCGGCACACATGTTATCACTATACCGCGGAATAAAGTTGAATTGTGCCGTTCCCGGTAGCAGCGGGACGTTGCGACCCGAAAACAATATCTCGTGGGCCACTCGTCGTTACTTCCTTCGGTAAATCTTTTCGAAAAATTGCGATTCCATAATTTATGCCGTTGCATATGTTCGCGATCTAAGAAAAGACTCTTCGGGGCTGTGGCGACACTTTCTTTATGCCTATATATGCCTATTGTATGCTGCATACGTTTTTTCCCCGAGGCCTTTATTTGCACAAGTCAGCGCAGGTTACTGCATCACTTCGAGAAAACGAAGATAAACGAAACGGAGATAAACGACGAATTGAAGACACTGTAGTCGATTATACGCAACCGCAATATAAATTAATTGATGAGAACTGCGTGTTCTTGCGATAATTTTATGTGCCACGCAAGTTCTGTTTCTGTATCTTTCGCGTGAGCTTATAAATTCACTGCTCTTTCGTTATATCCGAAGCGTCTCGGTTTTCCTGTTTCGTCAGCAGATTTGTGGTCCAGAGAGGTCGCGCTCGCTCTGCGGGTTTTTCCGGTCTTCCTGAAATCCGTCTGAGGAACGAGTGAGAAATCACAACGTAAAGCTCGGTTTCCTCAACGACTCACGTTTAAATATTTGCAATCGACCATTTTAATAAAAGTGAATTCATATTTACTGGAAACTTGTTTTTCATATCATACGTGCTCAATTATATGCGTAATTGTTTTACGTGCAACGTTTTCGATTTACTTTAAACTGTTATATTTTATGTGTTACAGTGACTGGACCTGAGAACGGACCAGACCAGGAACAGGAAAATGAAACACAAATTGATGCTGCATCACCATCGTCAAGTGTAAGTATACGCATATATCTATTCGATATGCACAAAGTTTATAAGACAGAATTTGATACATCGCTAATAAACTTTAGAATTTTAATTGGAAAAACTCCACCATTTTTAATGAAGTTTAGTAAAATCAGTTAAATTATTGCGAACGACTCGTTAACTCACTACTAGTTAATCATATAAAGTGAAGCAACGACCGTAAGATAAACAATCAAGTAAATAGCAAGTGCCAATGAACAATCAGGCTGGACTTTTTGTAATTTTTTACGCGTGAATTAATTTCTGTATATTCTTTACTTAGGGCCAGTTTCACAAACGTCGGTTAACTGCTAACCGAAGTTAACTGATCCTCTGTCTCTTCTTAGAGAACAAGATAGAAAAAGATAGAGCGTTGACTGAATTCTGGTTAACAGTTAACCAACGTTTGTGAAACTGGCCCTTAGCGAACCACGCGATATACTTTCGGACTTAAAACGGACTTTTTGTTATCAGTTAGCTTTGTCAGAATTAAAAGATGAATTATATCGAATGAAAATATTTTTCACGATCGTTCACAACGAAACTGCGGTTATACGTGATAGTCTGCTGCATGTGTATTTTTAATATAGCATATTTTTCCCCGAAAATGTAGGTTGAGCTGTCGGAGAACGGCGCGCATCCATGCCCCACGTGTCCGTCGGTATTTTCCAGTTCCCACGAACTGACGAATCATCTGCGTGGCCACAATTCACCTCGCAGCACGGACTGCAGCGGCGAGGAGGACTACAGCTGCGGCGTATGCAATAAGGTGCTTAGCTCGGCGAGCTCGCTGGACCGGCACGTGCTGGTGCATTCGGGCGAGCGGCCGTTCAAGTGCAAGTACTGCGACATGTCGTTCACGACGAACGGCAACATGAATCGGCACGTGAGGTGCACCCATCGGATGGTGTCGCCGAACAGCTGCACGGACTCCGAGGGCAGCAGCAGCTCGGAAAGACCGGCGACGACGAGCCAGGACGAGTACAATAACAACGAGATAGCCAGGCGCAGCTCGCCAGACTTGATCGATGGTCAACAGCAACCGTCGCCCAGCAGCAACCGCGCGAACAAGCGGAAGTGCCCGGACGAGGAAGTAAGCGACATGGAGGATCAGAGGAGACACAAGATACTCCTGAACAACACCAAGATGACAATCAGGTGTCGGCCGGAGGACGAGCAGAAGGCCTTCGGCTGCTCGATCTGCAGTCAGGATTTCGCGACCAGCGCGATCCTGGAGTCCCACATGGAGCGCGTGCATCCAGGCTCGCCGGCCACGTGCGAGACCTGCAACCAATCGTTCAAGAATCATCGCGCGCTGAATCACCATCGTTCGATGAGACACTACAAGAAGAATCCGGAGGGCAACAACAGCCGCAGCCTGCGCAACAACACCGTGGACGGATTCAGGGATCTGACGTTCATCGACTTCTCGTCCATCAAGTTTCCGACGATCGCTCGGGCGATGTGCGAGCGTGAGCTGCACCGGCCGGCCTCCGGCGAGGCCAACAGGTTCCAGTGCATGAAGTGCCTGCACGCGTTCCCCTGCAGGCAAGCCCAGCTGGCTCACGAGAAGGAATGCAAGGGTCCTTACAAGAACAAGAGAAACAGCAACGACAACAACAACAACAACGACATCAGCACCAACAATAATCTCGAAGCGGAGCTGGATGATCCCAGTCCGCAGCCCGACGACCCCAAGACGAAGCGTGAGATCTTCTTCGCTGTGCTGGATCTGCAGAACAAGTCCTTGGCACACGAGATGAAGGAGCCGCGGGAACCGAGCGAGTTGAGGGAGCCGAAAGAGACCAAGGATCTAGCGGATATCCCGAGCATCCTGTCTGTCAGTCTGAATGGTCTGCAGACCTTTCCTCGGTCGGACGCGAGCACGCCCGAGAACAGCATCAAGTTCAATCCGAACGTTGGTTCTTCAGGCTCCTCGGGCACCTGTTCGTCCGAGTACAACGAAGAGGAGGCGCAGGACGCCTTCACTGCGGAATTTCGGAAAATGAAGCTGAAGGGCGAGTTCCCATGCAGATTATGCACATCCGTATTCCCCAATCTGCGGGCGCTGAAGGGGCACAATCGCGCGCATATGAACGTGGAACCGGGTATGTCGTATCCGTGCAATATGTGCCCGTACACCAGCGCCGACAAGGGGGCACTGATGAAGCATCTGAGATCGCACAACGGCGACCGTCCGTTTGAGTGCTCACTCTGCAATTATGCGTTCACTACCAAAGCAAATTGCGAGAGGCACGTGAAGAATCGTCACGGGATGATCAGCAAGGAGGACGTTAAGAACGCGCTCATCTATCATCCGAGCGAGGATTCGACGAACGAAAATGTCGAAAGGGGCTCGCCCAGAGTCGTGAGGGAAGACGTACGGAAGACGCTTATTTACCCGAACGAACGCGAGGAGATTCCTCAACAACAACAGATACATTATCCGTCCATAACGATGGATTGTAACCCCGGGCCGTCGAGCGTCCGCGCCGAGATGCTGATGAATCACTACGAGAAGTCGGACACGTTCGCTAGAGCGAAGGCTCTCAATCTCGTAAAAAGAAACGCCGACGAAGCAAATGTGTCCCACGATCTGATTGTGAAATCTAATTACTCCAAGATCGATGACGACGTCGAGTCGGGATCGTCGGACGGCAGCGTGTCTCTAGTCAGTGATACCAAAACAGATACCCACCAAAGAATTCAAGCTAGTCCGATAAACCTGACGAAGCCCTCGACAAGCTCCGGCTTGAGCTCGGGCGAGGACGGCCCGTTGGATCTGTCCATGGATGTGTTGGACTTGAGCAGAAAGCGAAAGAAAGAAAGCGAGGATTCCAGCTTACAGGAGGAGAAGCGATTCAAGAACAATCAACAGGAATTGTATGCCACGAATCCAACGCTGCTGTTGACCCAGGCCCTGCTTAACAGAGTACGCGAGAACTCACCGACAACATCACTGGAGACTCTTTACGCGAATACCATCTATCGCAACTTCGGCACATTAACTGGCGCTGGTATGATATCGCCGTATTTCCTCAGTCCTCACATGTTCGGCCAGGATTTAGCCGCGAAGGGCAGGCTGCAGAAAGAGCTGGTTAGAGGTTTGCAGTTAACCGGCGGCGGCACACTCTCGGTTGATCCGTCACTGCCCAGCACCAGTTACACGGCGTACTCGCAATCGAGGGACGCCCCGCCAACCCCGAGCGAACAGAATGCCTACGCGAATCTGATGGGCGCGCAGATGGCCAGCCAGGCCGTGCCGAGCCGCGAGAAGACAGACAGTATCCCGTCGAATGATCCCGTGAAGATGGTGCTGAAGAACGGAGTGCTGATCCCCAAGCAGAAGCAGCGCAGATACCGAACCGAGAGACCTTTCACCTGCGAGCACTGTACGGCGAGATTCACGTTGAGGAGCAACATGGAACGACACATCAAGCAACAGCATCCACAATATTGGAGCCAAAGACCCCGTGGCGGACACTCGACTAGAGGCAGACCACCCGCGAGTCATCCGACGATGGTACAGAATACTGGCCCGTCGACCTCGCAGGTGGCTCAATCGTATTCGAGTATTCTTCCGCACGTCGACGCGCCGGTGGTGACGTCGACGGACTACGGCACGCATCCCATCTCGGACCAGGTGAAGTACGCGATTCTGGCGCAACAACTGAAGGTCAACAAAATGGATGACAACGATTCGGACGACGAGATGGTGATAGACGAGGAGTCGGCCGATCGAGAGGCTCAGGAGCCGCCAGCTCAGCGCGAGTCCAGCACGAGCTTACTGAGAGACCAGTTGGAAAGCAGCGATGGTGTCAAAGATGTCGTCATAAAGAAAGAAGTGGCCGAGCCCGCGGAGGAAACCTCGGAGGAGATCCCCGACGAGCAAACCACTCGAAGTAACGTCGACGACGCCCAACCGGAAGAATCCACGACTGTTGAAGGCAAGTCAATGAGCGCTGAAGAAACGACCATGGCCGAGCCTACCGAGAGGGAGCAAGGTAAACTCGAGGACGGGACGCCCGATCTCGCGAGTGTCTCGAAGCTTCTGGACAATGCGTCTCAACAGTATCAGCAATTTCAGCCGCAATACCTGAGCGACGAGGAGGGCCCCGTTGCGTCGACCAGCGGCAACAATTCCGGTAGCGAGAAGTCAGACTCTATGAACTCACTGAACTCGGGGACCGATTCCACGCTGAACAAGAAGAAGAAGAAGAAGAAGAAGTCCGCGTACTCGATGGCGCCCAACCGCGTCATATGCCCGTACTGCCAGCGTCAGTTCCCGTGGAGCTCGTCGCTGAGACGACACATCCTCACCCACACCGGCCAGAAGCCGTATCAGTGCATCCACTGCTCGCATCACTTCACCACCAAGTCCAATTGCGACCGCCACCTGCTGAGGAAGCATAAGGCGAAGGCGAACAAGATGCGCCGCGCCAGGAACTCATCTTCGCCGGATGTCCAGGCGGTCGCCAGCAGCAGCAGCAGCAGCAACGGCAGCAACGCGTTCCCCATGAGGAACGTGCCCGAGAGGCCGTTCAAATGCCATCAGTGCCCGAGCTCGACGTTCGCCACGTTGGGCAATCTGAAGAAGCACCGGTCGAGCAAGCACCGCAAAATGGCGTCCAGGTCCGAATCCAGCGATCAGCAGAACAGCCCGCCGCAGTGCGCCACGCAAAACGACCAGAGCGATTACGAGAGCCGCTCGTCGAGCATGTCCGACAACATGGAGAGCACACCGTCCATCGCTGCAGTCGCGAAGCCGACTTCTAACGCGTCACCCTCGATAAACGACGCCACCAGGTCGCGCAAATCACCGAGATTGTCGCCGAGTCCCGGCGATGTGCCCTTCAAATGTTATCAGTGCGACAGCGGCTTCTCGGAACGCCAGGACTGCTTGGACCATATCAAGATGAATCACAAGCGCGCGTACGAGATTCTGAAGGCCAAGGGCGCCCTCGACATGGCATCTGTGAATATAGACGCTACCGAAGACCAGATATTAGCGTCGCAGCAGCATCCCAGCGACGGCGAGGAGAAGAAGGGCCGTTTTCCCGACTACAGCAACAGAAAGGTAATAAGGTATAAGGGAATTGTAAAATGATTGGATCATGCATATCGGTGGTTTGCGTAAAAAAATAAATAAGTAAGAATATCGAACCTTTCGTTTCGTTGAAGCTTTCGCTAGTTTACGTCGCTCGATTGCGATACGATCGGAGTAACCAAATTCTCTTCTCTCTCCTCAGGTTGTGTGCGCTTTCTGCATGAGACGATTCTGGTCCGCGGAGGATCTCCGGCGTCACATGAGGACCCACACGGGCGAGAGGCCCTTCGAATGCGACATCTGCACCAGGAAATTCACGCTCAAGCACAGCATGCTGCGCCACCGCAAGAAGCACGAGTCGATGGAATCCGCCATGTACGTAGGCAACAGCGGCGACGAGGAGAACTCGCCCGCGCAACCGCCGACGATAACCCCCAGGAGTCAGCAGCACTCGCCGATCTCCACCAACACCAGCAGGCCCCGCACCCAGGACAGAATCTCCCTGCCGACCGTCGCGGCAGTCGCGACGGCGGACGCGGCGCCCTGCGCTCTGATGCGGTACACTCACTATGACAACATGGCCACTCTCACCGGCAGAATGGCAAACGACGGTCCCCAGGGTGCCGCTGCCGCCCCTTTACCTTCTCCCCCGCCGCCCGCGGAGGTACCCAGCGAGAGCGGGGACAACGACCTGATCTCCAACTTGTTGGGGATACGCGAGAAAGGTTTGCTCGACAAGGTTCTTCTGAGCTCGGCGGACGACGCGGCCAAGTTGTTGGGGGTCAACCACAGCGAGTGATCAGGCAATCAATCTGGTAGAAGAGAGCCGGAGAGAGGCGGAGCGCGATCAGACACACAAATCGCGTCAACACTCGTAGCTCGGATTGGGAGTAGTTGAACGTCGAGTATAGAACTGTATTCGAGGTGTTAATTCGTATTAATCGACTAGTATTGGCATATTAAGAATAGACAAACAAGCGGAGTTGTAGTTTCCGCCCTTGTGTCATATTGTGTCGTACGAAAGATCACCAGAGAATCGAGGGTATCGTCTGATCGCATGCCACTTTCTCCTATTCGTTTGTGAGGGAAAGAGAGACCACAGAGGATACCTTTACATTATTCGTCGAATTCTTCGATTCTCCGTCTAAGGTTCACGATCGTGCCTTATACTCCTTATCGATTTGTGTGCACGTGTTCGTATAAAACACCGTAGCGTTTCAACGTTTATCTGATGAAATCAAATATATCATGCGAGCAGTAGCCGGAATGTCATTATATGTCGATATGACATTTTCTCGATTCTCAACGAGAACACACACAGAGATTGTGTCAACGAGTTTGCTTATATCGCGGAAAGTAGGTGATGCAAATGAGTCGACAGGACATTAACGCAAATCAGTTTTTAGTTTAACTTTCAACTAACGTTCTGAGTTGAACCTTTAGATCCTTCTTAATTTTTGTACGATACTTTTCAATGTACAAGGTTGTACATTGAAGTATCAGTTAAATCTTTAGATCCTTCTTTTACAATTTTAATCTTGTACGATACTTTTCAATATACAAAGTAGTAAAAAGAGGAAGCCCTCCAAAGTCACTCCTTGACTTTAAAGAAATTTAGGGGTGCAGTTTCACCAAATTCCTTTCGATTCATTTCGCGATTCGCCTATTTCTTGCATAGATATCGCTGCGGCGAAGCATTATTTGCTATCATGACGTACATTTCCTTGATCATTGAAAGAATATACGCGCTGCACGCTCCATTCGGTTCGATCAGACACGATTAAACAAAACAGTTACGTAACATGGTGCATCTTCCTCTTTTATCAACGCATCCAAATCATTCACGCTTCTGACATAAATTACTTCGTAACACCTCGAGCCTTCGTTGCGAGCAACGCGTTCTTCGTCAACTCCCCTTTGTACTGTGTGTGTACATATTTATCCTCCAGGGATTGTAACAATCTGAGTATATATATATCTTATATATATATATATATATAAGATTTGATGTGATTACGACCATATTGTTCGCAGATGCATCATGATTTCGCGGGCGCGTTAAGAGTAGTTATCAAATGCATTGTTATCAGCGACGTCATGAAATATGCATTATCGGGAGATAACACGCGTATATGTTCCGTTTGTATTCATATGTTTCACGCGCAGTATTAGACGTGCGATCGCGACGCGCGATATTCCTCAACAATCTCATTCATAATATTATATTCGATGCGGTATTCGTGCGAGGAGCCAAGGAAAAACGGGGGAAAAAAAACCGAGAAAAGAGAACCAGACTCCCTTCCCGCAAGAGAGGAAGCTGGACACGAGTTCTTCGCGACGCGGACAAGGCCGACACTGCATTTAAATCCAAAGATAAATTCATTTTACGCAATGAATTATTCTAAGTTAGCCATACGCACTAGAATCTTATTTATTGTTAGTCATGTACTTCTACGAGAGTGAGAAAAGAAACTTAATTTAGGGTGTGAATGTGACTAGCACACATTAGTCGTTAGGTCGCCATGATATACTTGGCGAACGCGGCGCGTTCTGGACTCGGGGTGTTTCGCGGCACCGTTTCCGCTGACCGCGACTTCGCGCGGGGATCTCGGGATTGATCTCGCGCGTCGGTGCGACGGGAACTTGCTCGTTCAGGGATCGCGAATAGCTACGTAATACCAATCGATTATTGTCCTACTGTTCTTTTCGACGAGACGAGACGCGGGTCTTCACACGTGACGACAGAACGACACGTGAAAGCGCGCGGAGCAATATATAGTGAAGTTTATATATCACTACCGATCAATTAGATCGGTAACTCGTCGTTGTGTGTTATGAATCCTTTAGTGTATATAGATAGCCGTTATCTTTCGCGGATGCAATTATACCAAATGATTAACTTGACTATCGGCGTAGATAGGTACTTAGATTAGATTAGATTAGAGATGGGAGTTAGACAACAGATTTAACTAGGCCAAAGGGAAGCGATTTGTATTTCCTATTCCTTCACGTCCCCTCTGTCCACCCCATCTTGTTGTTCGTTTGTGCTTTTACGCAGTCTCGTACCCGTCTCTACATCACATTTTCTCCTCGATCTCCTCCTTCCCCTCTTCACATACACACACACACACACACGCGCGCGCGCGCGCGCACACACACATACACACATATATGCGTAAATATATGATATTTATTATTTTATAACGGAGACGATTGTACATGGCTGTAACACGTTTTAGCCAAGTCCGAAACCGAGGTTGGGAATAACGTCCAACAACATCGTTCTTGATCTCGTCCCGGCGCATGTCTCTGTCGTAGGATGTTTCGCAGATTCACTCCCCGTCCATAAAGAAGAGGTCCAGTCCCTTTGCAAAAACGCGTCGCTTTCTGCGGTCGCGTAGAGAAAAGACCCAGGTCTCTCCCCCTCTGCGGGCGGACCGAATTTACAAATATCCTGCGATAGACACATAACGCGCAGACACGTTAATTAAGGCTTCTTTGCGCATACGTATGCTGTAGGCGAACGAAGGAAAGTTGTATTTATCGAAGCGAAAACGAGTCCGTTTGAAACCTCTCGTGTGACATTTTCTCCTCCCCCCGACTGTCGTGAAAATTAAGATACCAAGTAATCATTGTAGCGCACGTGTACATGAATAAGTTATATTCTCTAATTTAAACCAGGAAATAATAAACGATATGCAATGAAACCGATGCACGTTCATCTTTTATTTTCCTTTGCATATTATTAAACAATTAAACGATTCTTATCGAGCTTCTCGGTGTAATCTATATAAATGAAACTTCCTCTTTTCATATATAAATTCTTAAGCCAAATGTTCCGTAATTCGTTTCGTATAAGTTTAACTATTAATTAGACTCCGTTTCACCAATGTTGCTTAACTTTAAGGCTCCTGGACAAAATCTTATTTTTTATCTGGATGAAAAAAAACAGTCTGCATCATTTCAGTACATTTTTTAAATACTCCGGCAACTGACCTTTTCACTTGACAGCCAATACTCGGCTGTAAAATGTGGATGTAACAAGATTCCTAGCCGCGCATGCGTACTCATGACAGGTTTCTTGTTACACCCTTGATACATCCTGGTACATCTTGGAACACCCCTAAGGGGTGAACATAAACATATGTAATAAACGCTGATATTGCAAGACTCTGGCGAAAATGAAGATCGGGGCGTAAGGCAAGTGTAAGTAGACTGACAGAAAAGTAAATAAAACAGATAACATAAAAAGTTGCGAACATGAAATAAATTTTTTATATGTACGAAAAGAAGAGATGAAACATACCAAGATAAGAAATATATAATAATCTCCTTTAGTATTGCCGAATTTTCTATCAAATGTAAAAAGGAATTATTTAATTTCTCATAATCAATCTCATATCTAATGCGTACTTACGTGGCATGATTGCCCAAATCTCGTGACATGATTGACCAAACCTCGTGGGAAGATCGAGACTTCGTGGCACTTTGTATAAAACCTCGGTGTTAATGACACGCGACAGGAAAGGAAACAGAAAAATATACGATTACACGAAGTTACTATTTGTACTCGGTATTCTTTGTAAATTTATCCGATGGTATGAATTTTAATCTACAGACATCGCCGATGTACAAATTTAAACTATCAATAAGTAAATATTACAATATATAATTAAGCACGGATAAGATTAAATGATATTCAACTCTTCAATTAAACGCATTGCGATAAAATTCGACTCAAAGTTCTGCATTCTGGCCAGCATTTGTATGATTCTGTTAATAAAAGAAAAAGTTGATGATTATGTATTTCCGTTAATAAACGAAACACTTGAAAATTATACATTTTAACATCGACAACGTACAATAAACGCAACCGAGTTAATCGAGACACAATCATCCGAAAATAATGAAAAGTTCAATGTCGCACATGTATTTTCATTTATAAATTCTGAAAAATATATATAAACTAGTAGCAGTAATAAATCACCGATAAGTGCTAGTTAAAGCACTCGATTCATTATTTCGTGTATTATTTCGCGTTTTCAACCTAGAAACAACAAATTATACTCGAAGCGACGAGAGACTCAATGCGATGATACGAGATGTGTCCGAATAAGAGCACCGTTTAAAGAAGCAATTATCGCAAGAAGTAATTTCAAGTTAGCTAGCGCTTTGATTCTTGGATGTATAGATCTCATGTGTGAATTGCGCGAGATATCTATCTTGTCGGCTAACCGAGCATCGATGGCAAAATCGCGGGAATTCAGGGATGTCACTTGTCATTTTGACGTCAAAATGACAAGTTATGTCAACTGGCTACCTGGGGATCGTCTTGTACGAGAATTATTAACATTTAT